TAGCAGCATATAACGAATTTAAATCGTTTTTCAAGAATTCGAACTTGAATACTTTCGGTTTTATAATTTTCAGATTCAAACTCATAACTTTACTAGTACGTTTGTTAAAATTATATTTTTACTAGTTAGCACTAATAGATAGATCTAGCTAAATTAAAAATTTACCTGCTTTGTACAATTGTCACATGTCCACAGCATTGAAAAAATTATCAACTGATTTACAGATGTGAATACAAGTGCAAGAATGCCGTAACTATATACAAAATTTTTATTTAAGAAACCCTTTATTATTGTAAAATAATCTAATATCATCCACAAGAATATTAAAACAATAGAAATACAAACTATTGTACCGAAACTGTGATTGATAACTTTCAACATATCAAATAAATCCAACAAGGACATTGTAATAGCTCTCAATTTATTTTCACAAATATTTTTTTGCATATGTAACAATTTCATAAGATAAAAAAATCTTTGAGATATGCAGTGCACCAAGCTGATGTAAAAATATATCATTAAGACCATTGCTGAATTTTGCACAAAGTATATTGTATCAATCAATAATACATACAGTTCCATGTGATCTATTCCGTGGAAAAAGAAAAAGGACCATGCCGATGAAAAAGCGAGTAGACCTATTATTACAAATATTGGTGTGTAATGACGCTTCATTTGCACATCAAAACTTTTGTCTGAAGCTTTATGAACTTTATCGAAAGCTTCAAGTTTTTTCAGCAACTCCATAATTGATTCCATTCGAAGATATTGCACAGAACATGAATATCCAAATGATATGACACCGTGAATTACTAATATTAACAATATCGCTCCTTCTAAGTAATTGTGGTGATCAAATTTAGTTTTCAAAAAATCGATTTTTAGCAAATAAAATAAAACAAAAATGCTGTATACCATCAACATTCCTGGAAATACTAAACATTTTTTATCTGAAACTATTTTTGATGAGTTTTTTTCATCTATTCTCAACGGAATAGCAGTGAAAAATTTTAATAGTTTTAATAAAATTAAATTTTCTTCATATATATCTTGTGGATTTAAATATTTTTTATGTAACTTAGTTATTATTTCAAACATTCTTTTACATTTTATTTATAGTATTCATGCAAGTTATCACATGCCAATTAGTTACTAGATTATGCGGAAGTAATTAATCGACTCAAATTAATCGGGAATCACCTTATTCGTACAATTGCCCATAATCGTAATGTAGGGAGAAATAGTCAAATGTGTTAATAATATATTAACGAGACAAAATTATATTAATAAAATAAGTAATTATTAATCGTTTT